CATACATACAAACATACAAAAATGCAAATACAATTACATTAAAATAAAATAAATAAAAAAAAACTGTAAAACAAATTACTTGAAAAGTTAAAAACCAAACCAAACATGTTTTTTCTTAAACTCAATGCCACAAGATTCGTAAGGCGTTAGACAAAATCCTACTAATCAGCTAGTACATATGTCGCAGAATCCGACTCGGAATTAGTTTCTGTCGAAAATAAAAACCAAAACCTATTTCAATTGCTGCCGTGAAAATCTATCGAATTTTTATTTTTCTGTTTTCTTTCACAACTTAAAAATTTTTACCAATTACTAATTTGAAAGTGAAGTTGCGCGTTTTACTGGATAAAATGTAAAAAAATTTTGGAACTTCAAAGTTAAAGACCAAACTACTTAAATAAAATTTCAGAAAACTTGAAATTTCTTCCAATTCTGCTTCTTCGTCTTTTTATCTTCGTTTTCGTAGTTTTTTTCGGAAAATTTTCTTAGCGAAACTTGGTATGTATACTTCTTTTCGACGTAGGACGAATGGTATTGAAAATGGGCAAAATCGGACAATAACCACGCCTGCCTTCCGTATAACGGTAGTTTTCAGAAATACGAAATCTTCTATAAATCAGTAAATACCGAAGCTAATTTATTCAACATTAATGCTTGCAACAATTCTCTAGATCAAAATACGTTTGTGATAAAATTTTGGAAAATGGGCGTGGCACCGCCCACTTATGATCACATATAAGTATATCGGTAACCGTTCGACCAATATGTACAAAACTCGGTGTGGTTATTGTGCTTGCCACATAAAAGCAATACGCTGAAAATTATTGAAATCGGACTACAATTAAGGCGCTTTTCATATAACGGTAAATTTCAGAAATGCTTGAAACTTCGATATTTCAAAATTTAAGGAGGCTTATTTACACAAAATTGATACTAACAACGATCCCTTGAAAAGAGGTAACATTATTATGGAATTTTGGAAAATGGGCGTGATACCGTCCACATATAACTACATAAGTTTATCGAAGATGTTTGAAATAGGGATAAATACACCCCTGCTTTTCAAGTAGCGGTAGTTTACGGAAAGGTGAAAAAACTATATTTGATACTTGCGCCGGGTATCTAATGTTCGGCTCCGCCCGAACTTAGACTTTTTCACTTGTTTCTTATATAAAATACCTGGAAAACTTTGAGCGCTTTTAGCGACCTCTAAATACTTTTTGATTTTTGATAAAAAATAGGCGTATATTTTTTCGATATAGAACAATCCTAGGGGGTGAGAGCATTACAATTCCAACTTTACTGTTTTTGGACCACCCTAAGGTACATATGTACACAAATACAAATTTACTCTTATTCTTGTAGCTTTAACAATTCAAACTAGCTATTTATGAAATTCACTCACCCAACTATAAAAGAGATATAACTAGGGAAAAGTGCATATACTAATTTATAAAAAAAAAAAATTATCATGGTACCTATTATTATTATTATAATTATACCATGAAAATTTTTTATATTTGTATGTATATTTGCTTGTATTAAAAAACTTAATAATGAAATATATGAAACATAAAATAAATGTTTAAGAAGTATATTCTTTAAAATAAGAAGGAATGGTAATTTCTGGCAGATGAAGTCCACAGGCGTCATGCCTCCCTTCAAACCGACTTTGATGGTGGTGCGACATACACATGTCTGTATTTCGCTCGTAAGTTCGTAAAGATTACTCGTGAAGTGTCTACGAAGTAGCGCTACTTCCAGCAAGTTGCTGTTCTGTTGTTTCGTTCGATAGATACATATGTAGATATAAATTGAAGAGGTATACACGACGACCTAGTAGGCCTATTGTGTACTCCACTAAATACAATACATCTCCTATTCCTATAGACTCCAGGCAGTCCAAGAGATCTTTTGGGGGTAAGAACTGCATGTGCTCTCTCTGGCCACATTAAGCCTTTGCTGTTCATTCGTCGCCTCGCTACGGCATCACATTAAATGAGCAGGTGCAAGCATGTCCCCCCTACCGTAAGTGTGTTTGGGCCTATCGCAAGGAATGGCTCCGGACCTATTGGAGCTGGGGCCGTCGATATTCTAGTTAAGCCGTCCAATATCTCATGTCTGCCACAGGTGGTGATTGGGCTCCGGCATTAATAGGCCGGGCGTCGTGATAGGTGGTAACCAACTCCCTATGAATGCCGTTGATCACTCTTCGGTACGTCGTCGGGTCCAGTCCAGTTGGTCGATGTATGTGCATATGTCTGGACAGCGTCCATATATGCGAATAGATGGCCCTGGCGTGCCTAGGCGGAGGCTCCTGTTCGAGCAATGGTCTGTTGGGTGCTCACGTCTGTGGCATACCACCAGAAATTGCTTGCTGAGCATTTTGTTGTGCTCCCTTACGGGAAGCATTTGGGTCTCGTTGTGTTGGTGGTGGCTCTGCCGCTGTCCAGAGTGTGACGTTATGACAAGTCTGTGGCTTCGTTCATTGCTTCGAACTAGTCCCCAGTGACCAAACGTCCGGCCAATTGCCTTGTATGATGCCAGCAACGTTTCTTTGTCTTTGCCCCAGGTGCTGCCAGCCACCGACTTGAGGACCTTGTTGCGGCTCTTTACTTTGTTGTTGTAGCGGCTACAACAACCCCGCCCAGGACGGTTGGTATCTCAGTCGTTGTCGTCAAGTTCCACTAACGGCAACCCTAAGAAGCGTGCAGCTTCTGTGGAGTTTGTCCACAGGGACAAGGCCGTTAGGGTTGTCGGGTTTTCCGGGCATGCGAAGAGATGTTTCGAGTCATGTGGGGTCTCTCCGCATGCCGGACACTCATTCGGCACATCCTCATTCAACCTACTCAGGTAGGAGTTCAACCTGCTGCAGTAGCCGGAGCGAGGTATGCCTAGAACGGCATTCACAGGTCTAGAGTCTACATAACTCGAGACTGAGTCCCTGTGAATGCCGTTCAGGGCCTGTCGGTAAGGCTCTCAGCTCTTTACTTTGTCGACAACTTCGGTTGTGTGAGCGGAGAAGCAGCGCGGACTATCGAAAGTTACTCTGAGATATTTCGGGTTATTCACCGTCGGAATTTGTACGCCCTCGACGTGAATGCCTAGTTGAAACCTGACCTCCTTCGTCCAGGTGGTGAAGAGGATCGCCGTTGATTTCGTTAGGGAGAGTGTTAGGCTCCTTCCAGTGAAGAAGCGAGTAAGCTCGGAGAGATAGCCGTTTACTTTTGACCACAGGTTATCAATTCCATTCCCGGACGCCAATATGTAGCAATCGTCAGCGTATGAGATCAGGGAAATTCCCTCCAGTAGCTAAGGGAGCTTCGAGATGTAGAGGTTAAACAATAAGGGGGAGAGGACGCCACCCTGTGGAACCCTTTGTTTGATCCTTCTAGGTTTTGAAGTTTGTCGCTTGGTCGATACACGGAGCAGACTCTGTGTGGACCAAGAGCTACTGGTTAGACCCTACACGGTATATAAGTGGAGAAGGGTGAAAAAGCACCGGGCGAGTTGAATAGTTGATCATCCGCTGGATGCTTGCTGCACTAGCATATTGCCCGAGTTGGAGGCCGTGGATGGAGAGCGTCCCATATGGCGTGGGCAACTAGGGGTCATATACTTTGCAGTCCACTCCCTATGTAACCTAAGGCCGGAACAGGTTCTTAGGTGAATTCATCCGTTGCAAGGATTGCACCTAACCGAAGTAGTAAATACCAGCCCGAAGCAGAAGGATTGTGCAAGGTGTTCCTCTAAGGGATCGCCAAAACAGAAGCCCGTAGCCGGATAAAACCCCTTCCGAGTCATTCCGATGAATCGTGAGAATTATGAATATACATAATTGCCTATATAGTATTTTCCTTAACTCTAGAAAAACTTCAATTTTTATTTTTAACCGACTTCAAAAAAGGAGGTTATCAATTCGTCGGAAAATATATATTATTGTCGTTTTAAATAACCATCTCATTTTCAGGGCAACCATCTTCCCTGACAAAGCTTCACAGGGCAGCGAATGTGCCTTTTTGGCTGTAACATTTTAAGAAACGAACACAAAATTTTCTCAATTTTGGCTTTCATTTAGAATCGACCACAAAAAGAGAAAGGGGCAATTAAAAGGCGATATTTTTTTGGTAGAAACGAAAACGCCATCAGCTTCTTTTATGTTCTTAAACCAGAGGTAGTCAATAAGAACGCCACAAGGCAATACATTTTTATGTTCACATTCAGTCTGAGCAAAATTTTATTATCATATTTATGAGTTTATTATTGTACATATATATATTTTTTGCTTTAGCTTAGATATAGACTTAATGATCACAAATATCATTTGGTTGCTGTATCCACATCTAACCTACATGGTTAATTTTACAACAAGCTAATAATGAAAGAACGACAACTTTTATGAAATATGTAAGCTCATTGTGAACCTGCTAGGCTCAAAGTTGATAAAAATCTCATAATCTAAAAATAAGGAATATTTGGGAGTATCAGTAAGTGAAAATACAAAAAAAATCCTAATAAAAATACATACCGTCGCCTGGGAAAAAGATTGGCGTAAGCGCCATTTTCACGATTTGTAGTTCTAGATGCAGTTATATATTTCGAAATAAGGTCTTTCGATTGGTGTTATCAGTTTTTATATATCTCTTTTAGTTTCCAAGATACTGACTACAACTTTTCCGATAATTTAGTAGAAATTTAGTTGGTGATGCAGTCATATTAAACTAATCAATATCTGAAAAATATTGAGTAAAAAGTGTCGTTAATTTGGTAGAAATTGTTTTCACATTTTGTCGTATTTCATGCAAAGTGGCTGCCAAATTGTGGACAAAATTTTACTAAAGAAAATCCTTCTTAAACTCAAAACTAATTAACAATAAACATTAAAAATTAAATAATTTAAGTATTTGGTGAACTAGTAACATTTTCAGAGACTTTGGAGAAAATCTATCTTCGCGTTTTTGAGAAATTACATTCCAAACTTCAATCGCGATTTCCCACAACCTGCCGAAATTAACATACGACAATCTTTTACCCAGGCGACGATACGTACATACATATCGGCATATATCAACAAAAAAAAAATACTACACAATGGTAATCAATTAAGGATGTTGTTATTAAGCTTTTGCATTTCATACTATGTATTTGAGGAAGTCAGTTTATACATGCGACATTTGGTTTCGGATAGACCTGCCAAATAAGTTGCATTGTTTACATAAACTGCACATATATCATAGATTACTTCCTGTGCTGGCATTGTTTGGACGCGCTGTTCTCGTCGCACATCGAACAATGCTAACTGTTTGACGTCTTGTATGTAGCCGGCTACTAGGGTATTCGCTTCTACGGCAACTTGAGCGCAACGTGTCATTATTGGCGTCGCTTTCGAACCATGAAATGTTACTTTCACATTTATTAAAGGTGTGTCGTCTACCTTCTCCAAACGTCCAACAATGTAGCGTGATTGTGGGTGACGTACACTGCATCGCGCCGACACAAGCAACGTTTCTTGGGCGGCATCATAATGCATTGAACTAAAAGGGCCCTCAACATTGAGCCGGGTTGCAATCGTTGTGGTGCTACCATCAGTGTATTCGTAGAACCAAAGTGACTGCAATTTGCAGACGAGAAAACCACCATTAGGGAAATGACTGCCGGGAAACACGCTGGCCACATTAATCACAGTGCTAAAATCTCCTATAAATACAGTTGAAATAAGAAATATACCATGACTTACATATACATACACATAAACACGTATTTACATCAGCACGTACCTTCAGTTTTGTACTCCTCCAAAATGTTATCTGAAAAACGTATATCGTATGTGTATGTGCTGCCATTTGAGCTGCCTAAATACAGCACATTCTCTCGATCCTTGCGGTCCATTGCACAAGCCCAGAGAGTTTTCTCGCCTGGTTCAAATATGGAAACCACTTGACGCGTACGCAAATCAAACAACTTTGATCGTGTCTCCATGCTAGCGACTGCCAGCAATTGTTGGTCAGCGTTTAGACACATATCGCGTAAGAGCTTTGTCGAAGCATGCAGGAACGTTGTGGCACGAAATGTGGCCATATCGATGAAGCGCACACCATAACCAGGAAAAAGACCCTGTGCGCTCTTCTGTGACGCCAAAATTGATGATTGCCGTGCGGCGTGTATTATTACACGACAACCAGGCTCACGCGTTATCGTGATAGTGGTCTCGAGATGAAGTCGATGCATCTGCAGTCGTAACAGTTGCTTGCCATTGGCAAGATCCGCCTCATAACTAAAACTGCCGCTACCACCACCACCAGCCCGTAGCAGCTGCTTCATACGTTCATTATCGGCAGACATGGACTCCAGTTGCATGGCTACAACTTTATTTGTCATTTTCAATGCCGCGACTTCTGTTTGCAGTGATTGTGAACGTCGACGCTCCGCCTCCAATTCGTCGCGCAATCGATGCTCTTCACTGCGGTCAATCGCGCGCAAACGTTTGGCATATAAGCAGCGAATGTCGCGATTTGTGGCTTTTGCTTTGCATTGCGGGCAGGCCTTGATACCTGACTGACGTGCACTCTCTGTTAACCACCGTCGAATGCATGAATCGCCGAATAGATGGCCACATCGCAATGACACTAGGCGATGTTCACCTGACATTTCCCAGTTGTCCAGACAAATGGGGCACGTCATACCTTCATCTTCTTCATCACCTTCACCGCCACTACCAGCGCTTGATTTCACGCGCGGCGTAGTGGATTTTGAAGTGCCAAGGCTTAGGCGTTTACGTTTCTTGGGTGGTGATGGGGAGACTAAATTCACTGCAGAACCCTCAATGTTAGCTTCAATTGTGCCGGCAGCTTCAGTAGGGACACTAGGGCCAGCCATGGGATCTGGTGGTGCCGGTTCAAGTAAATTTCCTAAAACAAAGCATATGTTAAAAAGATATATTAAAAGCATAAATTGTATTCACAGAAAATAAGTATAAGTACCATTATCTTCCGTTTCATTGCCTGCATTTTGTCCTTGTGGCGGTCCAACACCTAACATTTCTTGTTCTACTTCGGCCAAGTCATTAGCTGCTTCGTCATCTGCGTCTGTATTGTTATCATCGTCGACGTCCCGCTGTGTATCCTCCGATTGTTCAGCACTTGGTTCGGCTTCCGTTTCTATATCGCCCCCATCATCATCCTCACTGATTCCTCTGAGCGCTATGTAATCATGGTCTGTATTTTCAACACGTCCGTGACGCAATCTGGTTCTTCGACGACCAGGATAACGAAATTCTATGCTTGAGTCGTCACTGGAAGTTGAACGTGTACGACGGGCGACATAATTGTGATCTCCTTGTGATTCACCATGCGATCCCGAATCTTGCATTCTATTCCGGTAACAATCTTTATCAGCATTAAACAAAATTATCTGCCGGATTTCGAGGGTAAACTTTACATTTGTGCATGGATTTTAAAGAAGAAAATTCACAGCAAAATATAAACCTTTCCGGGAGTTTGAATCAAAAGCGGCGGTCGAGGTATGGAGCTCAGTGTTGTACTTTAATTGTTTACAAAACAATAATTTTACCTAAATGGGTAAGGATTTTCGGAAATTTTGCTATAAGGAGAAAATATGTTCAGCCTTCATCTCGTAATATTCATTTCATTAGTTATGAAAATAACTTATTGGAATAAATTGCGTATTAAAAAGAAATATATATAGTACAATATGGCCCAAATGTTATAATTTCGGTACAAAGTTGTACCTTAACTGCCACCCTGTTTGTTGTTGTATGTGCTGCCACCTGAACAATTTAGTGGTTTTCCTTAAACTCGTAAAGTCTTAAACCGTGTAAAACTCGTAAGCTTGCGAGTCTTTTATGTGAACACCTCTTTGCGAAAAGATGCAAGTAGGTGCGTAAAATGACTGTTTGACAGATCAACCAGGATTTTGTGAACCAATTTCTGTTTCGTAGTATTTTCCATAGCATCCCGCCATCTTGTCTCTATCACTCTTGGCTAAAATACAATTAAAAATTACGAAAATTAGCACAAAACCTAAGTAAATACAGTTAGTGGATGAAATTCATTCACTTTATTCGGTATAATTTTCTTCATTTTTTTTTCATTATTTTATCAAACATTTTAGCATAACAATTTCGGCGTCTCGGCAACATTGAAGTTTACGGGGTCGTTTGCGCCTCGTTTGCGTTTACGAGGCTCGTAAATTTGCGCGCTTTACGAGGTTTACGAGGCTCTCCTATTGATTTTGGAAACTACAAATTTTCTGAACATTTACAATAACCAATGTGACTTTTTTTTAAAGAACGTAAATCGTAAGCCAAATATAAAATGTAGGCTATCTACGTTATCTACGTATAATGTTATCTACGTTCTTTGTGTTTACCAAACCAAAACCGCTGTTCTATTAAGACCACATTTTATGAATTCGCATTGGGATTTTTGCTATATTATTATGCCATGAGTAAAGCAGGATTTCCAAATCATGCGCATAAAAGTTAAATTTGGTCTGTGAGCAAATCAGCCATGTACAAAGGCGGATGAACAAAATTCGTTCCACAAAACATCATAATCCTACTCTCTGGGAAACACCAATAACAAAATGGGGGCTTAAAATTGTCGTACGTTTTCATGCGTTGTCATGTATGTTTTTCATACGAATATTTTTATTCAACCTAGTTATATGCCAATCGTCGCGCCTACGTTACGCATGTTATGGGGGCCCGCCTTCAGCGAAATTTGGATGAAAATAGCTTTTTGAGTTTACGCTCGATATGGCAACGTACTTAAGTAATTTGCAAAGCCGATTGTCAAAGTCAGTGCAAAAAATCACTTTGGGATTTCGTGGCGTTCCTTCGTTATTTTTTCATATAAATTGTGGAAACTGGTAAATTTATGTTTTCAGTTCAATTTAATGCTTTAAAAGTAAGTAAATATAACTATAACACGAACATTTTTCTATTCTCCCAGATTTGCTGTTCTCAGACTTTAGCCAGACCCACCCGCCTCAACACCGCCTATCCGAAGACTTGTATATTTCACCAAAGCTGACACATTCCGCACTACCTCGCACCCCTTCTAAATAAATTGGAGCTCTACTTAATTGGAAACGAAATTATACAAATTAGCTCGTCAATAAGGAAAATATTCAAACGTGATTATGTCTCAACTAAATACATCGGAGAAAGATGCGGCTGGTAAACCGCCCGCCCATCGGCAACAGAACGCCCACAGCCCCAATTTAACGCTGCAGCTTCCCAGTCCAATTATAACTAAGCGCACACGCACTGCCTCAACGTAAGTTATTTTCTTTCCATTTTAACATGCTTGTACATTTCTCCAGTTTTCTACAATTATTCATAACTTTGAATATATGAGCAAACTATTAAATTATTGCGGGATTTCCATTATTATATGCCCCATCTCTTGTATCTTTTAATTTGTTTTAAAAATATTTTTATAATAATAGTTCATAAAAAAAAACTTATAGCTCTGCTCGTGCTTTGGAAAATCCAATTGAAACTGGTATTGTAAAATCGTTCAGCCGCTCAAAAGGACATGGGTTCATTACACCTAAAGCTGGTGGCGAAGATCTTTTCTGTCACGTTTCTGAGTAAGAATAATTCTTATTTTTACTCTTATCGTTTATATTATTAACTGTTTTGTTACATTTCAGCGTCGATGGAGAATATGTGCCACAGGCCGGCGATGAAGTAAGATACCGTTTATGTGCGATTCCGCCCAAATTCGAAAAACATCAAGCAGTACATGTACAAATTATTAACTTAACACCAGAAGTGCATCATAAGTGGGAAGAGCCTGTTTACCCAGAATCTCCTGCTCAGTAGGATAATGCTACAACTTGATACTTTGCTGATTTCATGCCATAACATTTGCGGCACCCATAAAAAATATAAGTGTATAGTTTAATAATTTTTGAAAAGACCTATAGGTTTATAAACAAGCAGATTACTTCAGAAGGGAGCATTTTGTATGTACAGATAAAATTTTAGAGTCATACCTCCAACTACATGTGTAAATATTATTAACCAAAAAAAATATGCGCAAACAAAGTATAAACAACAAAAGCTAGCGAATTCCATAAAAAGAAGATCAAACTTGGAGAAAAATTTTTGCGTGGTATACAATCTACAAGTAACAATATAAAGTGTTTATAATTGTTCCGAAAAAGTCTCGGTAAGCTACAAGATGAGTCATTGAACTTTTTTATGCGCATCAGTTTAAAAGTAAAATGCAGTGCCAGAAGCAAACACGAAATTTCGTCCAATACACACCATAGAAAAATAAACAGCAAAAAATATACAGAGGCACATAAACATAGAAAACATTAAATAAATACACTCAAAGTAAATATCAACAAATTGGCAAACATCTTACATTGCTCGTGCTCCCAGCTGATACAAATTTATCTTTGATTACATTTTCGATTTTTTATCATATGCATACATATACATATAATAATACTTCAAATGCTTGAATTTAATCGCCCTATCTATCTATCAGTAAGTAGGTTATCAAAATATAATCCTTAAATTTTTTCTAATCCGCATTGCATTGTGCTACACACATATATGAAATTTTGTTCAATTGTTCTACTATGTCTTGGCGAATGCACTTAATTTAAAGTTTGTATTAAATAATCATGCATACATGCATAGATAGTATTTCTACATTATAACACTTCTTCTTATATGAAGATAATTCATTCACTTTGTTACTTATCAAGAAAAAAATGCAATATGTTAAAATTTGAAGGACTTTTTTTTGGTTGTTTGTGTTTGTTGGTTGTTCCCCGGTCGATGTTGGTAATGTATTCTTAAATGGATTTCCACGACGGAAGTTGTCAAAACCATTAATTATTTAGGACAAATAAAGTGACTGGCTTCCGTCCAAGCAACGCAAAATATGTGGCGTGTTAGGCTTCTTATTTTGTAAGTTTGCGATATATTCTTCCTTGTTTATGGTTGTAAATGCTTATGGTTAGATTCGATAAGCACAAATAGGGAGTGACCATATCTGATACAGGATGGGTTTAGGAATACATCAAGCTAAAACACCAATCTCTTTCATTTCTAAACTATACAGTCGAAACTTTGGTTCAAATTAGTTGGCGAACAAATAAAGTGCCTCCCATTTGACGAACAAAGGATATGCCCCATCAGTATTTAGTGGTTTACAAATGTGGGTACTGGTTATTTTTGATATACAAAAATATATAGACAGATTCTGCTACTCACTTCCGAGTGAATTTCAATTAAATTCGTTTTGACTTCAGATTGGCAGGGGTTAAAATTCACTCAGCTTCAGCAATTCACTCGCAAATTTGATTGAAATGAAATTCCCTCGGAAGTGAATTTCGAAACCCGGCTGAATGGCTAATTACAACACTGTAATTTCCTTTTCCAGAGTTGCACAATGACCAATGCCACTGAACACACCCCTCCGGCATCATGCGGTAGCACTCACAGACAACTTGCAGAAATATCGTTTTAAAGCCACATACTATTACATTAGTATCTCGAACAAAATTTATTATAATTCTTTTAATGTTGGATAATTGAAACAAATGCTTCGCAATTTTATTTTAATCATTTTAAGTTTTTACTAAATAAAAAATGAGTGGCATCACCATTGACAGCCACTGTCAACTGGCAGCAATTGCGCAAAGAGGATAACTGGCAACACTGTTTTGCTCAGTCTCTGTGTGCGGTTTGTGTGGTGCGTGAAAAATTTTCCCGTTTTGTGTTGGTGGATAGCGGAAACTTGAAAAGTTGCTCTTTCTAATTGAAAATTATTGGGGAAAAGTGCTTTAAAAACATAAATTGTATTAATTTTCGACGCATAAAATGCAAAATATTTGCGTAAGTTAAATTTTCGCTTTTGATTGTATGAAAATTCCGAGTGAGAAAAAAGTTGTTGCTTGCAGCAATGCAGTGTGAAAGCTATGAAAACGCAGTATAAAGTAAAAAAAAA